AAGGATTATTTGATTTGATTGTGAAAATATTTAATATATTCATGGAGGATTATTTAATCTGCTCGTGGAAATATTGGTTTGCTCGTGAAGATATTATTTGTGGAGCAATACTTGATTTATTCGTGGAATTATGTGGATTATTAGTGGAGAGTTGCATGATTTATTCGTAGAGATATCATTTGATTTATTCGTGGATATGGTTTGATTTGTTCGAGGAGGTATTAGTTGATATATTTGAGGAGAATTATTTGATTCGTTTGAGGAATTATGTGATTTATTTGAGGAGACTATTTGATATATTCGCGAAGATTATTTGACTAATCTGAGGAGCATTGTTTGATTTGGCCGAGCGAAATAATTTGATTTGCTCAAGCGATTATTGATTTATTTGTGGGTGATTATGTGACTTAATGGAGGTGATTACTTGACTATATCGAGGATATGTCATCTTGTTTGAGGAAATACTATTTTGTTCGAAGTGATATTCAATGTGATCGAGGACACATTATTTAAGTAACTCGTGAGGATTATGCGACTTTTCCAGGAAAACTATTTGACTTATTGGAGGAGAATTATTTGATTTGCTCGAGATAACACTTGATTTATTCGTGGAGTGTGATATATTCATGTATATACGTGATTTATTCGTGGACATTATTTGATTTTGTCGAGGAGACACCATTTGGTTTATTAGTTGAGGATTATCTGATTTATTGGAGGATATATTTATTTTGCTCGAGGAGATATTACTTGATTGATTTGTGGAGATATTATGTGATCTATGCGTGGATGTTATCTGATTTGGTCGAAGAGATGTTATGCGATTTACGTGTGAAAATATTTGATTCGTTCGCGGAAATATATGATTTGCTTGAGAAGATATTGTTTTGCTCGAGGTTACATTATTTGGATTATTCGAGGAGATATTCTTTGAACTGAGGAGGTGCAATTTTATTTATTTGTGGATGATTATTTGACTTATTTGAGGAGAATATTTGATTTATGCATGGAGGATTATTTGATCTGCTCAAGCGATTATTGGATTTATTTGTGGATGCATTTGATTTATTCGAGGAAGCGATTATTGGATTTATTTGTGGATGATTGCTTGACTTAATTGAGGTGATTACTTGACTAGTTCGAGGAGATATTATATATTTTGCTCGAGGGATTCTTTGATTTGTTCGTGGATATACTTGATTTGATCGAGGAATTATTCGATTCGATTGTGGATATATTCAATTTGATCGTGGATACATTTGATTTGTGCGTTGATATATTTTTTCACAAATAATGCGAGTCGTGGTTTCAAATGGAGGATATTTTAGGAGAGTGTTTATCGTATTTTTTGGTGCACTTATCGATAGACTCGAGGAGGCCGATTAAAATTATGCGATTCGATTTCTTGATATATCCGGAGCCTCTTATTTGAATTTTCATGTGAAAATGTGGATTTTGTTGAAATGGATTATTCGTAATTTTTAAGCATTTCATTGCTCGAGCATGTTTTAAATCGAGGAGATGGTGATTCTTGTATTTGGTCTTTTGTTTTTATTGCGTGGAGCATTGCAAAATGGATAACTTGAATATAATGTGGATAATGATATATCTCTGAATTCTTGTCGAGGAAACATCGAAATAACCCGAGTCTTGACGAGCCATGTCGGACGAGCTGTTGAGTGTCAAGGTCAAGATGAGCGAGCATGGATCCATAAAAGGTAGGTGATAAGGAAGGAAGAGCCTGGATGATGTCGATCACCGGGGGCGATTTCAAAGGCAGAAATCATTCTCTTTTGGAGAGGTAGGATAATGGGAAGTGATATTCAAGATCTTCAGGTATGAAATTAATCTCAACTTTTGTTGGCGGTCAAGTTCGACCGACACAATTTTGTGGTACATTGAACATCTTGGCATTCTTTTTTGGAGGAATGCTCATTATTTGAATATCTTGAGCGAAATGTGGATGAGATTGTGGTGTATATGGATGTGTTTGGAATTATCATTCTAGTGACTAGCATAATGCAGAAAATGAGGTGTACGTGGAGCATCGAACAAAACCTGGCACGACTAAGGCTTTCGGGCTGGCCAGTTTCAAGTCATCATGACTAATGAGCTCGATATTGGGAGTAATTCATTTCAACTTTCATTTGGTGTATTCGTTTAATGGTCATTCGCAGGTGCAGAGTATGATTTATTGTAGTTGTTTGTTGAATTCATGGTTGTGTGAAATTTTGGCCGACTGTACATTGGAGTGGGTGTTTACGTGATTGCATACCGTGTTAAAGTGGTTTCATGTAAATTGAGGTGTGGTATAAAACCATGTGGACCAATGTAATAGCCTTGATTTATTAATCTCTTGTCATGGTTGCTATCAGGATTGCAAATGGGATGATGTGGATAAAATACGACTAATGAAATTGTTGAGTTCTTGCTGAGGAAATTACACGAATAGGAGGATTGGCTATCTACGTACACTGCATGGTTGCAGTGAGGAGTGGACAGAGGGAAGTTAACGACAACACATGTCGTCATGCACAAACATGAAAGGGAGGTCGAAAAATATACTTGATTTATTTTATTTTGTTCGATGTAACTATGCATTTGATGAGGCTAATGAGAATGATCGATTACTATTCTATCTCATGGTGTTTGGTGTGCTTTTTGGTCGACTTCAGTGGCAGGTCGAAGTGTTCGCTCAGTTCGAAAGGGAAATATCCACCATGACTAAGGCCTCCGGGCTGGGTGGTCGCATGTATCGACCACTCCTTCGAGGGTGGGCATGTGTTCGAAGAAAAAATCCACC